GAAAAATGGAAAGGGAGCCGGAAAGAGAAGAAAAAGAACACGACGATTCACGACCAGAAGCATAGTAGGATACCACTTAGCAGCTCGATGAATACGCGCCACACGAAAAAAAGGTTGGGAAAGAGGGTAGTGGAAACGGGGATGAAACGGAAGAGCGTCTCCTGATTTTGCATTTTTCATTTAGATTCCCTTCGGATGAAAACGCATTAACTGGTACACGAATAGAGCGTGAATCATGCTTACACTCCGCGTGGATCAACGGTGCATGGAGGAATTAGTGGACTCGAAATAATAATAACAATACAAACGGCATTTTATGTACACGCATAAGCAAGAATGTGGAAAGAAAGGCAAAAAATATATTTAAATTTTTTTATTCTCCATTTAAATTTCACTTCATTTGCCTGCCGTTTTATATTTATGGTGACTTTTGATTTTCAGTGAAAATAGAAATATTTTAATCAAAATATATCTTTAAAATAATAATATTCTTTTGGTATATATATGCTATTAAGTAATTAGAATTTATTAAATATTAAATAACTTTAAATTTTAGGAATTACAAATTAAATTTAATAAATTAAATTTTAAATAAATATTTAAAATAATATTAATTATTTTTATATTATAAATAAAGTAATTAAGCTAAATAATATTAAAATGAATAATATAGAAATAATATTTATTATTTAAAAGTCTATTTATTATATCCTTAAATTTATTCCATTAATTTACAAAATATAACAATTTGAAGAAGGAACGAGAACAATCGATCATTCACAATCAATGACAATGAATAAATATTTATAATAAAAGCGATCTATCAATATCCTTAATTATAGTGAATATAATATGATCTTATATAATCAATCTTAATATATATACAAAATGAGAAATGAATTTTTCAATCTTTATTCGACACTTTTACGACAATAAAATTTTGTTATAATAATACAACGAGAGGTAAACGAATTTAAATCTAAAAAAAAAAAAAAAATCGATCGTCACGATTTTAAATTCGAGATTCTAGTATAGTTTCACTCTCCCCTCCCTCCCCCGCTTCCTAATATTTTTCATCTGTGCTATTGATCATTCCGCCGACAAGATTGAAAATGTGTCTTCTCCTTGTACAATTTCCGCCACGTCCTCGTTTTTGTCTGGGGCATCTTTTTGTTAATTTCAGAAAGAATTGTCGCGCGAATTTTCACTGAGAATCGTGATCAGAAAGCAAGATGATAGCTCTTTTGACCGGAATAAAGCAGAAGAGAAGGCGAAGAAGAAACGGTAATGGTATTAAAGATCGCGCTTGGCTGGGCATCGATGCCTGATTAGTTATTGACTTATACCACTTCTTCCTCGTTTCCAACGGGAAATCACTGCTGTGAGAAAATCTCTGTCCGTGCAAGAAATTATTATCTAATTTTGGAATTATTTCTACTACTGTAACGTCCAACATTTGTTTCTTTACGAAGATTTTGATCTTCAAACCAAAAATAAATTGATGGATAATCGTAGTTGTTAGGCAATTAAGAATTAAGATTGAAAATTGTTTTTCTCGGTCAACAGTTGAATTGCTTATTGAAATTATTTTATAATCGAATATTTTATATCTTATATTGTTATTTTTTCCTTTTTCTTTATATCATTGTTTTATTTATACGTGTATAACAAACTGTAACGATTATATAACAATTCGCATGATGAATTTCATATTAATTTTTTATTTTATGTATTATTTAATATTTATATTACTGTGTTAAAATATGTTATGAATTATGTAGATAAAGATGGCATAATTAAAAAGTTGGTGTGTATTAATAATAGAAAGAAAAAGTGTTAATATATTGAATCTGTAAAAGAAACTAAAAGGGAAAATAAACACAAAAATTGTATAAATATCGGTTGAAACTTACTAAATAAGCAATTCAAATTTATGTTAAAGAATATGAGATAAAACCATCTCTCTTGATCTAATGCAAATTTAAATCGTTCACAACTTAATAAAATCCTCAATCGACATTTTCGTAAACCAATTTTTATATTTTATTTATTTCGTTTTTCAGGATTCAAAACTATCTCAAAAATATATTAATATCCCGTATATCAGCAATAACGATTAATAAATTATTGAAAAATAACTAATGAAGAGAAATATTAATTATAAAAAGCAGAGGAAAAAACAGAAGTGAAAAACATTTCAAAAATAAGTCATTAATGACCGAATTTGACACACTTTCGAAATGAATAAATACACACGCTCGTGCAATACACCATTAAATTCTAAAGAGTCAATTTACCGTAATTCACCTAAATTGCAACATTCCAAAAAAAAAAAAAAAAAAA